AATCCTCGCTCCAGCGCCTGCAGCACCTCCTCCCGCTCCTCCGCCTCTCACCCTGCTCTTCACGCTGCTGGTGGGCACTTTTTTCCCCTCGGTCCTCTCGGCCGTGAGGTGTTTTGCCCTTTCTTACGTACGCTTTCCCAGAGGTGCCGCCAGCATTGCCGAGGGGCTCTTCTGCGTTGGGCCCAGGGCAGCGGCGCCTCACAGCAAGCAGCCGCGCGGCGGCCGGAGCCTTCGTGCCTGCAGCCAAGAGACGCCTTGGCCCGGTTCACACGGGAATGTAACTACAGGTATGTCATTGAGATTTCTGTTTTCCTGATGCCAAATGCTTCTGCCTCGTCAGGCCTCTCCACGTACTGATCTGCAATGCTGCCCTGTTTGGTGCGCCCTGGTGCTTGACGGAAGATGGCCTGGAGTCCACCTTCCAGGTGAACCACTTGGGACATTTCTATCTTGTCCAGCTTCTGGAAGACGTTCTACGCCGGTCATCTCCTGCTAGGGTTGTGGTGGTCTCCTCCGAATCACACAGGTCAGTGCATGTTACCTTGGCTTTAGCCAAAATCGTTAATCCTTAGAGCATAAAACGATTATGGCAGAACTGCAAAAGTTTTTGAAAACGAAAGGCCTTGCTCTAAAGCATTTGCATTTAAATAATCTCTTTCAAAATAGAAGCATTACTAATACCTGTGGATGTTACTGGATTTGGCTCTGTTGCTGGATAAAGTGTATTCTGGTTTTATGACACGATGTAGGTATTTTTTGATCATTCTTTGTATGAATGCAGATTTTTGCTGCATTTCAGACCACTCATTGATTTTGCGAGGAGATGGAATAATAATTGATTAAATCTGAATGGCGTGACCTATATTGATTTGTCATTCAACAACTTCAACATCTTACCAAGAAGAATGTGCAGTTATTTTAGCAGGAGAAACAATGCAATTAAAAACTGCTAGATGAAATCCAATTGTTTTATAATGAGAAATTAGGGAGTTCAATGCAGACATTAGCTCTATAATTGTAAAATGGGAAGTAGTGTAGTTAATACATATTAGAAATCTGACCATGCCTCTTTTGGTGAATTTTTTAATTAAAATGTTAGATGTTCGTCTTTTGTACTGCCAGGAGAAGCACAGCAAGACGATGATGAGGCTTGCCTTATTTCAGACATGCTTGTGGTGTTTTTGTTAATAACTGAAAGGATGGACTGGATTTAAATAAAGTTCCTTGTGCAAAGTGCATGCCCCACTTCTGAATTTTAGTGGGCACAAACCACTTACTGCCTTCTGATTTAGTTTGGGACTGCAGGATTAGACCTATAATGTCCAGCTTTAAACGTTACTGGTGATTTCTATTTCACTTTTGGTCATGTGTAACAGCTCTAGCAAAATGTAACCCCAGGGACCTGGTAGAGGGAGACCAGCCAAGGGTCAGGCTGAAACCTTTATCACTTCCAAACACAGGGGCTTATGGTATAAATGACACACTGCAGATAGATTTACTTTTACCATTTTAAATTTATGATGGCTGAAATGAAAGGAAGCAATAGAAAATGCCAGTAATAATCCTCCCCGGTGTTAAAAGACATGAAATGTCTAGTAATTAGTTGGTAACAAAATCTGGACATCCTTATCGTTGCAAATCACACCAGGTTTGTGAAAGCAAGTAGCAGAGTCTTGTTAGGAGTGAGGGAGGCTACTGCAGGGCAGGCAAGATAGCTCTAGAAATAAATCTGCCAACTCCAATCACTTGCCAGATGTGGAGGGCACAACGGTATACGTTTAAATGAGCTGTTATTTCATGGGAGATTATGTTGAATTGTCAGTTGCTTGTTCCCCTTTGTAAGTTGGTATCTCTGATAGTATTTTAAATGACATCTTTGTTTTTCAGTGTATTAAGTGCTGCATGTAACTAGAGCTCACATATCTGGACATCTTTATCTGTGATTTCGAAAACATTTTTTAAAGTACTCATTGTAACTCAGTAATATCAGCCAAGGTTTATAGAAGCCTATCAAAAAAAAAGTAACAGTCTATGTTTAAATAAAGTAATAAACACAACTAGTAAATTTCCCTTTTTCTAAGGGGTCCAATTCATGTACGATGGCGTATCTTAACACCTACACCAATCATTGTAAGTAACTGTGCTTTTCCCCCCCTGTTTAATGGCAAGAAGTTGATGTAAGGAAGTCAGTTTAGACGTTACTACATTGGGTAGTAGTACTTTCTGACCTACTTGAGAACTCTGAGTCTTAAACTGGGTTGTAAAACAGAAGTATTGGTTTCTAATTACTTCCATAAACCTTGGCTGCATCTTTTCGCTGGAGTCAAGACCCCCTGTTAGGGGAAAAATAAAGTCCCATGTTTGCAGAAAATACTATACTAGACTGCTCCAAGGCAAAATATGTATTTGCCTCTCTGGTTCTTTGTTCGTTTTTAGTTACTTCTCTGGATTCAGCACAAATGAATTGTGTTTAAATTAAGGTTTTGGGTACTGTAAGCACATCATATTAAAATCAGAATAGTAAGTAGGTTGACTTTACTTCTGTCTTTATTTCTGTGTTGTTAATTTGATCGTACAGCCCTTATCCCATTGAATGCAATGAGATTGCCGACATTAGTAAGATTGACTCACATAAGCACACTCGCAGGACTGGACTCAAAATATGCCACTGTATTTCCGTTATACAGTATACACAAAGTACTTTATTTACAGATTATTTTTGGTATCATAAATTATTACTTGAGGAATGAATATAGGAAATTCCTCCCAGAATAGTCCTGTTAATTTCATCTAACGAAAAATTATGAAAGAGAAATTTTGCTGTTGAAATTGAAGGGCTAATTCTGCGAGATACTGAACATCCTGGTTTCCTCTTGAGTTCAAATACTGTAGTTGCTTTTCTCTGAGTGTACCATAATTCTGCTCACAGAATGAATGTAGAAATTCCAGCTGATCTCTTCATTTCTGGGCATGAGATGCAAAATTAGTAAAGATATTTTAAAACATTTTTCTAGTGTGTACTATAATTATGTTTATCCCTGTTCTCCCCAGCTGATTCTGAAAACTCTGAGTATTAAAAAGAGCTTGCTAAATCCTTTTTATTTTTAGTAGCTCTTCTTTAGTAGAGTGAAACATAGATCTGTAACTAAATGTAGTATTATTTTGTAATATTAAGATATACCAGTAAATTGATAAATCAATTTGTAAGAACTGGGGGGGGAAAATGTTATATGGAAACTTCCTTTTCTGCATCTAAACGTCTTCGGAACATTCACTACTTTGTTATTAAAAAAAAAAAAAAAAGGAAAGAAACAAACAGCTGGTGTTTAATGACTCTGTCAGACCCAATTAAAAAACATCAACTAGTTACTTTGATTTGTGTTCAGCCATGTCATGGGTATACTTAAAAACATTATACTCTGCCAGAACTCATTTTGGCTTTGTTTACGTTTATCTTTTAAACATACAAGACTATTGATGGCAAGTTACCAAGGTTATAACCCCTTTATATTCATCAATTTTTAATCTAAAAAAGAGTCTAAGAGGCAGTGAGACTCATCCATAGTTACTAGAACACTTAAATGAAAGTGTGCCGTATGTGAGCACTGGATGAAATAAGCAAGGGAAGGAAAGAAGGAGAAATGAAAGGATGCTGGTTTTCTCTGCTTCTAATGCAGCGTTTGTTTATCCTGCATTATTTCCTCCAAGTTAATTGTGCCTCTGTAGATCTACGGCAAAATGTTTTTTGGGATTTAAAGTAAAGTGATGTGTAAGTTGTATACGGTGCCTTTAAATCATTAAAGCCTCTTTTGATTCATTTCAATTTATCATTTGCTTTTGCTTATTATTCAATAAGTTTACTGCCATATTATATGGGACTATTCCTTTGGTCTCAGGCAATTTTCAGTAGATACTTTCAACTGCTAAATAAGCTGCTGTTTTATGTTGGTTCTGGCCAAGTTCTACTCTTTCGTCTACATTTTATGTTGTTCTTAATGAGAGTGAAATTAACTCTGGGGTATCTAAGGCATATTTACTGTTTTTTAGGTTTACAGAAATTAAAGACTCCTCTGGAAAACTTGATTTCAGCCTGCTTTCTCCATCTAAGAAGGAGTATTGGGCTATGTTGGCCTACAATCGCTCTAAGCTTTGCAATATACTGTTCTCCAATGAGCTGAACCGACGCCTTTCTCCCCATGGGGTGACGTCTAATTCAGTCCATCCTGGAAATATGATTTACTCCTCCATTCATCGTAACTGGTGGGTGTATACCCTGCTGTTTACCTTGGCTCGACCTTTCACCAAATCCATGGTAAGTGAATGAATTACAGTATTTTACACATCTTCATTTTTCAAATCAGGGGAGCAAAGTTATAAAAATCCAGATGTATGTATCTGCTTTGACCTATTGCCTTTTATAGCTACGACTCCGATTTTAATGACAAACACTGTGCCAAGATAGTGAGTACTCTGGAAAACGATTCTTCAACCATTTTAGATTAACTTTGTCAATCTTCAGTAAAGGGACCTGATTAGATGGAGTGCATGACTTCCTTGTTTGAATATGTGATTTTCACTGTGATTAAGGTAGTTGTACATCTTAGGTGTGGCATAATTTAGAGTTATTTCTGTGCTCAGAATATGTAAAAAGTCAAAAAAATTGCTTTCGTTTTGAAGTGGAATATGCTTGACTACATTTTTTTATGTAAACAGATGCCCTAGTTAGAAAAGATACTACAGACATTATTAAAGGCTGAGGGAAAGTGCTTTCAGTGGTAAAAGCACCTTCATTCATATTTAAAAAACAAAAAAAACCCAACAATTTTCGTGATTCTTACAAAGTACTGAAGGCAATGGGTGTTTTTACTTTGTCTCCATTGGACTGTGACCATGATATAATGAAAGGCTATGCAGTTCTTTCATAGCCAACATTATGAGGCTTCGTTATGTAGGAATTTGCAGCATCTCCACACCTGGAGGGGTCACTCTTACCCGTTGAACCTCTGACCCAGGTTATTTATCAGGAGTCTAAAGTCTTTTTTTAGGCAGAGGATAACTTTTGCTTCATTGAGAACTGGCTTCCTTTAACCTTATTGACTGTTTCTCATCCCTTATTCACTGACAAAGAAGGGTATTCCCAAAAGGGGAGCAAGGAGGGGGAGTCTTTGAATGTTTGCAGCTACGAATCAGGGAAATGAAAAGATTCATACCCCTGCAGAACTCATCTAGCCATGGCAATTTGTTCCAGCCCTAACCAGGCCCCTTTTACAGAAGACTTGGCAGCTGACAAGAGTGGCTGTGGTGTAATGTAACTTACTGTATCCCTGAGCTGAAGATACAGACCAAATAAATTGGTTTTATTTGAAAAAGAGCAGAGAAGGAATTGTTGAGGCAGAGGGATCCATCCTTAAGTAGCTTAATCTACTGCATAACCTGTAGTAGCTGAGCAACTCAATGTAAGAAATTGTATGTATAGCTGCAAAAAAAGGTTTGCTTGTATGTTTCATTATTGTTGAGATAATGAAATTAATCTTAATTTATACTGGGTTAATGTAAGTGTTTAAAACTCTGCTTACATGTCCACAAAAACCCAGCTTCTTGAACAGTACTGGATCTTCAATAAGAGCCATGGAGCAAAAATACAGACACTCTGGTGTGTGGCAATGACAATGTGTCAGTCAGGAGAGTGCTCACACCTCTCACCTCTGCCTGCAGTTTGCAGCCCGTACATATGCAAAACCTATTTATGTCCATGAGATTGGTAAGTGAGCATTCTGGCAGCTTGAGACAAGTAATAATATCTTTCAACAGCATGTTTTTTTTCCAGGACCTTTAAAACCATGTCTCTGCTGTGTTAGGGATAGTTTATAAAACAAATTCTTGAAGTTCTCCTGAGAATGGAGAAGTGAATGTTGTCAATGTCCTGTGAAAAAGATCCAATCTGTGGAACTTCTACGAATTATTAGTTTTATTTGCTCTGACATATTTTTGCAAAAGAACATTTTGTGTTTGTTGCTCAGATAATCTTATCTTTTAAGGGACAAAATAAAACATTGAAGTTGATTTTGAATTCTTTAAAACAATTGATAGGTTTCTTTTATAGTATCTGTTTATTTATGGGTGATATATAAAAAAGAATATAAAATATACTAAAAAAAAATCAGCACTGAATAATAGTGCACTCTAACCCAAGCCCAATCACTTCAGGAAGTCTTTCTGTGTTTCTATGTATTTCATTGTAGTTATTTGAATGTTATAGGTTGAGGGTAAGAATCAGTTTTATAACTAGTATTCTGATATGAATTGCTATCTTCCCTTCAACCTTATGAATGTTTTGATTGCCAGTAAAACTAGAAAAGTGCCCTTCCCTGGGCAAACAAGCTGAGCTGAAATTCTCAACATCATCAGTGTAAGTTTCTATTTTGAGATTTGCAGGGACAAATGATCTGCTACTTCTTTTTTGGGGGGGATTGTGCTGTCACCAACTTCGAATAGACGTTATTGAGGATCTTTTTGTGGGCTCCCTGTCAGGATTTCTGTGGCAGCTCACCCCAGAGTTTAGATGAGTCTTTTGGTCAGAATACTGGACTTGGGTTTTTGAGCTTAAAGCTGCAGTCCCAGGGTGGTGAACCGTACATTCCTGTGTTTTGCAAGGATGTCTGCATTGTGCAATGCAGCGTGGTGCAGCAGCACTTAAAGTAGCTGCAACTGAGCTGGGTCTATGACTGGGATTGAGAGATCCGTCTCAAGGTTGTGTGGAGTGAAATAAGGTTTATCAGTTCAGGCAAGGTGCCGTTCGGTACGCCTGTACCAGTTTTGATCTCTGAGGCAGTAAATTTAACTGCTGCAGCATTGTGGTACGTGGAGAGCCTAATCCTTCTGGAGCCAGTTTAAAAGCTCTTGGCTATATTTTGAACTGTAGAGGCTCCTGGAATCTGTATAGATGCATGCACATCTATGCGTATACACACACACACTACAGCTGCACACACCTGATTCGATTTGGAGCCTTTTCGTATTATTGTAGTAAAAGCTGTTAATAAAAAATAATTACACACTTAATTTGTGTTTCACAAAGACAGACTTACGGGATGTTCTGAGAGTTGTGGACAGTTCAAAATAACAGTCAGAGTTTCAGCTCTTTTGGAAACTTCGAAGCTAGATGCAGGAGAAAATTAGAAAATACATTTGTTTCCCTAATAGCTTTTTCCAGAAGAATATAATTCTTACGTTCTGTCCTTGCTGCATGTTGCTACTGAGAAATTAGCCTTCATGCCTTTGACTGAATTGTCATAGTTTTCTGTGGTACTTATAAAATCATCTATTTAAAGTGTACTTACTAGAAATTATAACAGTTTAGTAATTATTTTGTTCTTTTTTCAACAATGAAGAATATATGTTGTATATCTGAAATATATTTTTTAATGTAGTTGTTTAGTTCCTAAATGTTGAATAGTTCCACTTTGGTTGATGAGGATGTATTATTTTCTTCAGAAAAGCATGCTGTTGCATACTGTGAATCGCCAATTTGGAGAGAGGTCATGGAGCCTCTGGTGTGTGGCGCTTGGGATATTCAGCATGACAGAATTTAGCTCAGGAAACACTGCTGGTAGCTGTTCCATTTTAGCTGGTTCCCTTGAAGCACTGAGAATCGGTATTCTAATATCACACTCTTACTTACCTGTTTGCTATTGTTTGCTGCGAATATGGTGACTTAATTTCAGTAATTAGGACACTTTATGAAGTCAGGCTATTTTACATTTCTGCTTGAAGAAAAGGTTTGCAGATGACTTAGAATCTGGTTTTGCTAAAAGGACAAACATACCTAGGTGGGATTTGTCTGTACTTCAAGTGTAAGGCTTTTAGAGACGTAATTTTAGTTGCTTCTGTAAATGGTCATACCTTACTTGCAAGAAGTGGTGCAACTTCATATTTTCTGATCTGTTTTATGAGTGACTACGGCATAAAAAATATTTGTGCTGGTTATGGTGAACTTTTCTGTTGAATCACAGAGAGCTGTCGGGTCACCTTTTGAGACATAAACCAGTATTTATATCACTGATGGTTATAGGTGTACAGGAAGTACTTTTGTTAAGTAAAGCACTGAAAACTGAAAGACTGTTCCTTCGTTCCACCCACCTCTTTTCAAGATCTAAAATCTACAAGGATTTGCTAGACAAAATGTAGAACAGGTATTTTTTTGTAGAAAGCAATAGTTGCAAGTAGATTACTATTCTATTACTGTAGCAACCATACCTCTGCTAATATTCAAAGGGCCTCTCTTTTACTTACCACTGTATCGTTACTCAGTTAATTGGAGATGCTTATAGTACAATTAAATAATTAAATGTAAATTGAAACAAGCAGCCACTGTAAGTAACAGATTGGAAGAGAGTCTCTGAGAGTAGCTGCATAGACCATGCGTACGCTTAGCTGGTTTGATCCAAGGCCTTAGAGTTTTTCTTCCTTGGGCTTTTTTTCTACTTTTTTTTTCTTTTTACCTCTCTCTTTTATTCTATTTCGCTCTCTTTTTCTCCTTCTCTCTTTCTCTCTCTCCTTTTCACTCTCTTCTTGAAAGCTGGCTCAAAAACAGTTTGACTAAGTTGTTTGTTTTGTTTCAAATTAATGCTAGTCATTCAGAACCCGATTAGTTTACTATTTACATACAAGATTAAAATTAAATACTTTTATTGTAAGTTTCAAGCTTACACAGAGTATGTTATCTGGTGTCACTCCCAGGTGATTTTGTGAGTGTACAAGGGCGAATAAAATTAGAAGCAGAGTGCCATTATCACACACTTGTGATAGTCTTACATAGAACTAAATATTTTTGTTGGCAGGTAACAGAGCAGAAAGAATATCATGTGTTAGAGTAGCAAGAGCTTAACAGATGTTTCAGTGAACTGAATTTTCAAATCCTTTTACGTTAAGAAATGGCTAGGGTTTGTAGAAGTTCTGAGACTATTGGGTTACATTTCCTGTTGCAGTGCAAAGCCAGCCATTGTGCTAGAGTTTTAGCAGATGTGTTACCCCCTTTTAACGGTTGGGAATAAAACATTGGTTCTGTTGCTGAGATATAAATTACAACTGTAAGAGCTCAACCTGTCACCTTTAAACAGCCAGTTAGCTGCAGTAAGACCATTCTGCCCTTAATTTTTCACTGTGTAAGAGACTGATACTTGAACAGCGCTTTGATTTCTCCCTCCTTCCCCAAAGATAGTAGCTTGTCAGAGCTGGAATTTGTATTTAAAGTATTTGCTATAGAGAATTATAAGGAATATTTTTAAGGGCCTCAAAGTCTGCTGCATGTCTTAGTTTTACATAAAACAATGAATTCTTGTCATGCTGATATTACCCCAGGAGTGTTGCAGGCAGTTGTCATTGCAATGCTCATACGGGCAGGAGGAAACCCCTGTGTCTGCAACTGCTTCACTGGTTTTACTTTTGTTGTATGTTGGCAGTAACTAAATTTAAATTTCATGTGATGATTTGCGCTCACACCTAGCATCAACTCAGAAATACTATTCTGGCAAGAAATTAATCTACATCTACTGGAGTGACTTGCTTCCACCTAATGATCACATCTGTTTGCTTTTGATGGAAGCCCAAAAGAGGCCCTGCAGTCTCATCATCTCTTCTGTTTCTCCCCTGTTCTTTTCTAAAGAAACTGGAATAATCCTTAGAGCTGGGGATAGTATTCTCTCCTTAAGTAAACATTTTTTGCTGTCCAAAGATCTGTGTGGGCTGTGTTGAGTTGATGTTGGCTTCCATTACTGAATTCACAGTTCAGGCCAAATTCTGCCCTCAGCTGTGCGTGTTCAGCTCCAAGAACAGTCATGGGCACGGTGGGTATGTGCATATTTCAGAGTAAAATTTGGCCTGTATTTCCTCCCTAAGACATTCCTGAAAATGCACTGGGGTTGCCTGAAAAGCAACAGGCAGTTCTTTTTGAAAAGAGCATCACAGGTTAGATTTGATCAAAATGGCAGTTTCTTTTCTCAAATTGAGTTTTGTGTGGGAAGTGAAAGAGGAAGGGCGAGTGAACGGGGACTAACTGTCTCCTGGATATTAGCAGTTGTAAAGAGTTTCTCCTGTTTTATGGATTAAAGCCAAAAGTGTAAACGTTAAAGTGATGCTAAGCAATAGCTCTCTCTCTTAACACACAGGTCTGTGGACTGTATCTCTAGTAACATGGAAGGACAGTTATTTTGTTGAAGCCTGGTAGCATATGCTTCCTTGCAGAATACTAGTATTTAAAGTTGACTGAATGGTGTAAAGGGAAAGAAGGCATATGTGGAAGAATATTTTGATTGGTTATAATAGGACGATAAAGAAATTCCTCTAAAGTAGTTGTTAATAATCTGGTGCATAAATTCTTCTATGCACTTAGAATTTCCGTGTCCTATCTAGTAATAAAATGTAATATAAGCTAGTTTATTATCAAACTTACATTGATACATTGATACATAGCTGATACATATTTTAACTTCCTGCTAAAATAAATGTAGCATGAAATATGAGGGCAAATTAAATCCACCCCCCATAACCCACACCACAGGAATGGAAAGTCTTTATGAAAACCTATCCACGTGCCAAACAGAACAGCTCAGGGTCTCAGCGTGCAGAGCGGTGCTCGGGGGGAGCAACGGCCATGGAATTTGCTGTGTCCAACACACCCCCATGGCTGTTTGTGGAGCAGATCTGTTGTGTCCTATAGTTTTGTGGAGGAAGTAAGGAATTTCTTCCTCTCCCCCCAGATCCTTGCAGAATTTCAGAATGCCCTGCCAAGTATGTGGGCTGCAAGGCAGGGAAACATTTGGTCCATAATGTTTTATATTACATGTAATTAAATTAGGATTTGAAATTAAAAAGCTTATTTCCCTATTTTTCAGCCTCAAAAAGCTTTCTTGGATTAGAAAGTTATGTGTGCACCTTGTGGAATGTCTGCAGGCAGGTCTGAATTGCCCACAAATGCCAATTTTCTGTGTGACCTCACATCTGGCCCTGTCTGCTAACTTAATGTCTCCTGCCTGAAATCTGAAAAAGATTGGTATCATAGGTAGTTAACAACATAGAACAGAATATCTTTTTCTGAAACTTGCAGAAAGTCAGTCTTGCATTCAGTTATTTTGATTTTTGATTCAGATTGTTACACCATCTAGAACCCAACCTTCCTGTTGAGTAATGGGGGGATATCAGATTTGTGGGTGTAAACTTCAGTACAAATAAAATAATGAGTGCTTTACAAAGGTTTTAAAAGCAAACCCTTTTTATTTTTCCACTCTGATATGATGAATCCATAATTTCTTTCTTGTCTGAAAGTCCCAGATTTTCCTTCGCTGCACTTTTTTTCCTGTGTTCTTTTGCAGTCCTCCAAAGAAGGTTTCAAGTTCCTGTTTTTTCCTTATTCTCATCCCTTCTCTTTTACTCACCATCCCTTGCAGAGCTAAACTGCAGCTGAAGTGTCGTGGTGTCTCTGAGGTGTTACGCGACATTGATCTGCTGAGAATGTATTTGAGAAACCATAAGGAAGGAAATTTCTGCTGTATTATGAGTGTTGAGGTGCTTAGGTGGCAGGCAAGATCTTGTAGTCTGACAGAAACAGCTGAACATGATATTTAGACCTTTTTTTTTTTGTCCCTTTGATTTTGTTTTTTTATGTCAGTACTATACTCGCTATTACGAATTTGCCTTATCCTTCT